TCTATCTATCTATCTATCTATCTATCTATCTATCTATCTATCTATCTCTTGCAAGACACTCCTCCAAAACCCAAACCAAACTTCTGAAACTTGGCAGTGTGACCTCATCTCCCTACACTCGCCACTGCCTGACTTGTCCTCTCTCTCTTCCGCCAGACACCTTGGCTCAGCACAGAGCTTAGGGCTTAGGCAGATGTGTCTCTGAAAAGTCACCTCTCCTCCCACCTCCTTCTCCAGTCAACAGCCACAGCAGGATATGCACTGTTTACTGACACCAGTTGTGCGATTTCCCAAACAAATGCTCCCCCCAACCTGCCAGGCCCCCAGCTTGGTCCATCCCGTGTTCCCAAGAAGACAGATGGAAAGTTGGAAGGTGGCAGCATTTAAAGGCAATTCCAAGGGATACCCCCTATTGTGTACACCCAGATGTTCTCCAGAATGGTTATGATGGCAAACAAGCAAATGAAGAAGCTGAGGATTGCACCCCATGATCTGTTAGTCCTTCCTCCCTGAAGCTCCTTGGCCACCCAGCTGTTAGGCCAGATGTGTCACCAGAGGGGGCTGGCTTAGGCACCATGTGACTGCCCAGGCGTGATTTGGGTATGGGAACACACAGTGTTATTGGAATTAAATGTCTTGTACTGGTGGGCAGGAGTTGTTCTCCCCTTCTTCCTTTTATAAAGCCACCAGGCAGAGATAAAGCCAGTTGTTCTGTCAATCCAACTTAACATAATTTCAACCCTCACACCAGATAACTCTATCAGTCCCCAGCCAGGATGCACCAGCTTCTCAGCTACCTGCTGTTATTCAGAGTGTTCTATCGTGCCCAACTTTTGACAAAGACTTCACTGAGTGAAACAGGAGAAGGTTTTGTTTCAGGATGCCACATCCTGGCATAGTCACATCTGGCCTGGCCCTAATGCCAAGATGGCCATAGCTGTTCCTACTTCACCGCCTGATATTAGATTCTCTTCAAAGATTTGGAGAGAAGACAGGGTTAGCTATTTGGTCCACATTGGAGTTTTGTTCTTCTAAGGAAAGCTAAACTACTAGCCATAGCTGTACTGAACTGGGCAGTTCTTTTTGTGGTCCAATTTTATCTGTGTGCATTTTCTGTAGTCCCAACAACACAGGTACACTTTATCTTCTCCACTTTATGGGTAGCTCAGAAAAACAACCTTGTTAAAGGCTGCCATGGTAGGAAATGGCAGAAGCAAACTTTGGGCCTAGATCTGTCTGACTCCAAAGCTTGTATGTGTTTCTGACATTTTGCTGTGCACCTGTGATAAAATCTGGATTCCTCAGAAGAAATAAAGGCAATGCATCAACAATGTAAAGTAATCCTGTCGATCTGCTATTTGACTATGTGAAGCGATTTCTGAAGCATATTCTTGGATGAATTATGGGCTGATCGATTTAGCCTAATATTTTTCTTGTGTCACTCTTTACACACACACACACACACACACACACACACACACACCATGTTATTAGTGGAACTATTTTGGCAGAAAACTGTCTAGAGTGATGACCTTGAAGACAAAGCAAGATCCCCAGTCACTGAGAAGGATGCAGTTATCTTTAGTGTACTGTAACTAACTGGAGCGGCAGTTCAGAACATTTTAGAAATATTTCCAAGAAAAAAAATTGTTGAAATGAAAAACTGAGATTTCTTCATAGCTCTTATCCAGAGCACCCATTCCCTAGGGAGGTAATCATTCAAGCATCTATGGAATAAATTTGGTTTCTCACATGTCTTCCCTGTGTTATTCATTTAAATTTCAGGTTTCCTCAAATTCTTGATCTGAACATAAAGAAGCTGCAACCAACTGTGGTCCTGCTTCCGGAAGTAGGTACAGTCTCAGCCACAGGGTCTGAGGAGCTTTTGTCTATAGAAGCTGCGTTTTCTGTTGGCAAGTCTTGGGTATTCTCTCTTTCTGGCTGTGGATTTGGTCCTTGAATGAGAATCATTTGCACAGTAGAGAGCCCCAAGGTCATATATTAACCCCACTTTGCATAGGTTATATTTAGCAGTCCCAGGGAGTTTATGAAGTACAGACTTAAAAAGAAAAGTCCATTTATTACAGCCATAGCCCTCCCCCAACCAGGAAGGTCTAATAAATGAGCTCATATTTCAGTGACCCCTAAAATACACAAGGTTAATCGTCTTCCATGAGGTGTTCATGACTTCTTGACTCATTACTGGTCCAAGGCATAATTTGCTAATGAGATTAAAATGATTTTCCCCATTCAAATCCTTTTCTTTGCCATCTTTCCCCTCTTTTTCTACCAATGAGTTTTGGTTGATTAATCACTTAGGAGACTAAATTGGAGGCCACAGATATCTCAGTTCCAGATTAAAAAGTAGTCACTCTGTTGGCAAATGGCTATGAGTGATGGACGCATGCGCTTATTCGTGTCCCCTGGGAGAAGAGGGACAGAGATCAGCACTTGAGCTTGCCTCACTGAACTTGGATGATTCATAAGGCATGTGACCACATTTTATACTGGAAGTGGGTTCTTTTTTACTCCGCGGCAATCTCCTTTTGCAAGTGATGATTTCCACAATTTCTTGATGGGCTTTGACATGCCGGTCTACGACATGCAGGACTTCTCCCAAGCGAAAGCGCGATGGAGTTAAATTTATATTTCGGGCTGCTGCGGTTTCCTGCCCCAGTTTCTCTAGAAATCTCGGAGTGTATTCATTTACTTATTGTCCTATAGAGAGAAGAAGAGATGCTCATCCGTAATGGACCCTGCACATTCGTGGTCTAGCGATGGGAAAACGTCACATGTTATGGGAAACCATGGTGAGCAGCACATGGAGGAAGGGGGTCAGAGTCGCTGGGCAGCTCAGAAACCAGTGGGACATAGGCCAGGAAGGTCATGAGTTTCACATACAAGAATGCAGGGCTGTTGATCCTGCTCCCTTTCATGGTCATGGTCTACATATTCTACTTATCCAGTGTATTTCAATGTCTTACAAAGCAAAAGCATTTGTTGGGTATGCTCAGCATGAGTGTGAGTATGCAGATGAAAATTTCCCATTTCCTTTGCTGTTGGTGTAGCAGTGGTAGTAATTTTCTAACTCTCAAGGCACATTTTATGTTGAACCTCAGCAGGTAGGCTTCATGAGAATGAAGGGGGTTGGCAGGAGTGATTCGTCAGTAAAGTGTTTGCTATCCAAGCATGAGGATTTGAGTGTACATTCTCAACATTCATAGAAATACAGACCTAGTCTGTATGGATGTTTGTAATCTCAGCACCAGGGAGATATGCACATAAGGATCTCTGGGTCTTTGTGGCTTTCCTCAAAATGGTCTCACTGAAGTCTTGAGATCTAGGTTTAGTGAGAGATCTCATCTTAAAGAATAAAGTAGGAAGTGATTAAGAAAGACAATTGATGTTTCTCTCTGGCCTCCCCATGAAGGCATGAATGCAGACACACACACACACACACACACACACACACACACACACACACACTATAATAGTTGATAAGGAAGCCCTCATGAAAACTGGGGCTGGGGTGGGGGGGGTTGGAGTTCTGTCTGCTAAGTCTACTGAATTCCCACTGCCATTACTCATGAATGGTTCGTCCAAATTTGTAATACAATCATAGAAATGTAAGAGCATATCTAACCTTACATGGCAAAAAAAAAAAAGACTTTACAGATAGGATTAAATCAAGGATCTTTAGATGAGAGAATTATTTTGGAATATTTAGATTGGTTTGATGTAATCACAGGAGTTGTTAACAGTGGAAGAGGGACACAGAATGGAAGAGATATATGCTGCAGAATGATGGTTAGGAAAATACAGTCTCTCTAGCTTTAGTTGGAGGTATAGCAATAGAGCCTTGACCGGAGAAAAGTTTATGGACTCTAGACTGAAAAAGGTAGAGGAATCGATTCTGTTTAGAACCTCCAGAAAGGAAGAGAGCCCTGACCATGCCTTAATTTTTAGATCAATAATAACTCCACCCTGAATTTGCAAGTAGAATTGTAATATAATACATTCGTAGAGCTTTAAGCCACTGAAATCAGTGTGATTTGTTCCAGCAGCAATTCAAAGGTGTCTGATGAAGGAAACTTTGAACACAATGAATAAGGCCTGGCCATTAGTAGTGGGCGGCAGCCTTATGCTCTGGGAATCCTCTGAAAGCTTTCACAGTCCCCGGTTGTTGGAGAGGAGTTGCATTTTTGTAGTGGTATGCTAAGGTTTACACAAGGTTCTACCTTTCAGAGGCATTTGATTCCTGTTCTTGGAGACTATATAAACAACAGGGTAATTAACTGGAGGCAATTAACCCCTGGGAGCTGATGCATAACTGAAAGAGCCTCCCTAGAAAGAATTCATTCAAAAATTCTTTGAGCAGATGATGTGGATATAACATGAATCCTACCTGTCTGATTTGGGTAAATTTGAAAACATACAGGTGTGTCTTCTCCAAAGTCCATTATCTCTGACTCCTTTCAGGTTCCTGAAGGTCCAGCATGCTCTGGTTTCTCATGCTCTTCTCGTTTCATAAAAATAAGTATTTGTTGGGAAGTCTTTCCATTCAACACAAAATAAGTCTGAAAATAAGGGTCTTTATGCAGAGGTGTGTGAATTCTCAAATTGCAGAGGGTACCGATTATCTTTGCCTCCAGCCCACCTCCAGATGAAAGACCACTCTGCTAACACACCAGGACTTTGAGACAATACAGATGCCCAGTAGAGTTGGGTCAGGCTCAAAGCCAGATCCCTAGTCATCTTTTCCGTAGGGTCACGAGTCTCGTAATGAGCTCTGACATACGCTATCCTTCAGTTTAGTGATCATATGCTTCATAGCCAATGAGAAGCAGTGAATGGGATGTGTCTGCCAATCGGCTTGGCCTCTTTCCCTCTGGGAGCCACGTGGAATAGTGTCTTCAAAGAATTATGCTAATACAGTACTGGTATAATTGGGTGACTTTCTGCAGTGGCTCCAGTTCTGCAAATGCATATTCATCAGAACTATTCCCGCTAGCTCCGTCTCACAGATCACAATGTGGAAACTATAGGACTCCATCAGCAAGCACAGCTACATGCCAAGTGAAAGGCCAAGTGTGGCCAACGGAAGGCACCTGCAGGCAACTCCCACCCTGGAGGAAGGGTCCTGGTAAGCAGTAGTAGCAAGAATGGGAGAGTTAATTCTTGCATATGAACGTTCAAATCACATGCGGGTGAATAACGGTGGGCACGGGAGGATCACATAGGTGCACTTATGTTCACAGATTTCAGTACTTAAAATGACCCCAGAGAATAATAAGGAATAGAAGATTAAAATCGGGGTAAAGAGAAGCATGCAGGATGGTAAAAGAGAAACAAAAGTATCTCATCTTAGAGTTCATCTAAACAGTGAGATTGTCTCCTGGGAAACTCAGGTAGGTGGAACTGACCAAAGAAGGACAGCAATGATGGGCATCAGTTCGCCTCCTGGTTGCCCGTGGAAGCCATGAACTAACAAGTGCTTTCCTTTGTATTTCTCCAAGAGTCCCCCTGTTCTTCTTTGTCCTCTTTGGGTATCTGCCAGATCCTCCTGTCTGCCATGTATCTTTCCTTTGCTTTTCTTCATGTCCACTTCTTTCTGATACAAGCCAGAGCCCTTCCGGCTGCAGCTTAGTTGGTATCGGCTTGGAGACGACACCCTGGACACCAGATAGGCATTCGTCATTGAGACCTAACAGATTCCTGAATGGAACAGATGCTCAGAGCTGGGCAAGAAGGAGGGTGAAAGATGGTGTTGGCTCAGCATCCTCACAGTTTTCCCATGCTCTGGGTCCCCTCCCACATCACAGCTGTCAGAATGGGAAGTTAAATGGGGCACCATAGCCACTCCCAGGGCTGGAAGTTCCCAGTCCTTTCCCGCAGGTCACTATTGAGACTATATGTCTCAGTGAATGTTCCCTACCTCCTCTGTTCTCACTATGAACATCTTCCCTGCCATCCTTCCCTGACCAAGCCCCTCTAACTTCCTGAATAGTTCATGATTCTCCCCTCCAAATCTCTAAAGAAGGTAGGACTAAAAAAAGATGACTGTGTCAGCGGAAACAGCAATGGTCAATATAAAGAAACCAGCCTGCTGGTTCCAACAGCTCCTGTCTCCATTTACCTTCCTGGCCCAGAACCATCATTATTTCTATAACCTGGGGGATAGCGGAGTAATCCTAGCCCCAAGAGTCTTACTGGTTAACAATATCACCTGCTTTTAAACTGTCTAAGTCTATAGATTTGAAAACAAAAAGCAAAACCAGAGACTTCTTTTTAGAGAAGCAGGATTTCCTTGATGTAAGCTCCAACTGATCACAATATATAGAATCTATGTAGTCCTGGCTAGCCTAGAACTCATTCTAGAGACAAGGTCTACTTCCAACTCTCAGAGATGCCTGCCTTTAGAGAGGAAGCTGAAGGGGCTGAAGAGATGACTTAAGTGCTAAGAGCACTGACTATTCTTCCAGAGGTCCTGAGTTCAATTCCCAGCACCACATGGTGACTCACAACCATTTGTAATGAAATCTGGTGCCCTCTTCTGACCTGCAGGCATACATGCAGACAGAATACTGTAAACTAAATAAATAAATCTGAAAAGATTTAAGAAAAGAGGGGGGAGGAAGCTGGAGAGGTAAGTGTGGGTGCTGAGAGCTAAACTTGGGTCTTGTTGTTGTTGCCAGCTTAACCTTTAACAGCTGAGTCATCTCTCTCACCTCTGATGCCTCTACCATTTCGAGCATAACTTACTGTTTTCATATCCCTAGCTGTAGGTGGGTTTCTCCTAAAGTTTCCTATTAGTCTTGGAGCCAACAATATTTGTGGAAGCAATTGATTAGTTTTCAAATAGCTTTTACCAACTATCTTGTAAGATTGGAAAGACTCTACTATTCAATGTCTGGAAGTTTCTCTGGAAAGATCTAGAACACCTAGTAATGCTCTTTGTGTATTTCTTGATGGACTGATTAACTCTTTGCTCCTAACAAGAAAAAAAAATCTTAATTTAGGCTAGATGATGGTCACACGTGGCTACCACACATATTTTCTTCTGTATGACTGTGTTATATGTTATCCCCACCTCATAGAGGAACCCATAAGATAGAAGAATGGACATACCACACAACCAGTAGAGTCCAACTTGCGATCGGAAATGCAGCGAAAATTCTTACTGCAGCCTCCGTTATCTTTGCTGCAATCACGCACTGGCCCAAAGGAGTCTAAGAGAACTTCCAGGCTGTCAAAGGATGATGACGTCATCAGCTCCTCTCTGCATGAAGAAGCAATGGAGGAATCAAGGGATTCCAAAAGCAACAAGTGTTCTTACATTCCCTCTTCCAATCTGGTCTGCTTTTTCTGATCTCACTCTTTTATAAAAATTGAAGACTAGCCATACTCAAAGCCTTGAGCTAACAAATCATGGGCATTCACCATATCTGGGAAATGAGCCAATGTTATAATGCCTGGTCAAAGAAGGAGATATGGATGTAGGCAAGGATATTAACATTTTATTGCCTGTCAGTCCTTGAGGTTTGTGGGAAGTGCTTACAAACTCTAATTTTATGTCCTCTTCCAGTGAATGAGCCTTGGGTTATGCAATGTTGACCCAGATAAATAGCAGATCCTGGCTGTGTCTGTGGGGAACTTGAAGGCAGTTTGCCAACTTCAGCTTGTTCTATGTCCCCTCCCCCCAGTTTTGGTGGAGCTTGTCACTCTACCTCCTAAGCCACCCTGAAGTGAGACTCACCTGACCTCCACAGCATCTTCCATCACAGTCATGTCGGTCTTACACTTCGCTGATGGATTGATGGCCAGTTCAGCTGGTGGAATCACAAAGCTTTTGCTGAGGGGCAACCACATGCCTTCCCCAAGAGTGTAGGTAAATCTGGGTGGACACACACACACACCCCGGGTGGTTAGCTGAGCACAACTGCCCACTAGCATCCTGTTGCTAGCTGCTTCCTTTTCAGCCTTCCTGAAGACTCTGCAGATACCCCCACACCAGGTGACTACAGGAACCAATGCATAAAGTAGTCATGATATAGCATAGGAATTTCACCAGAGGGTCTGGAATTCTCTTCATTGCTTGTTCCTTTCTCGTCTTCCCCATCCCTGCAGTGCTCTTCAGACAGGTGAAGCACTTGAAATTGTCTGGCATGGACAGCATGACTGAGTCAGAGGAAGACAGAGGCCTCATCCAACTCACGGAACAGATCTGATTATGGTACCCATTCACCAGATATCAGAAGTGGTTTTTAATATGTCATAAAAAGAGGGTTTCAGGTTTTTCAGGTTTAAAGCTGGTCCTCCTTTGTGTTAAGTCATATATGGAAATTGGAAGCAGTTTAATTGAGAAGAGATATTGGCCACCCCATCCACATCCCGTGACTGCAAAGCTGCAGTGGCAGCCAGGGTTTCTCCCTACTTGGGAGAGCCCTGAAAAGGAAAAGACAGGAAAAAGGTTTCCTTTTCTGGCTTCTGCATAACAGGAATAGGTGTGACTGAAGTTAGGGGCCTCCAGGGGTGAGCAAAGAAAGAGATGAACAAATGAGAACAAACGAACAAAACAGGCCCAGATTTATTTTCTGAACTCCTACCCACACCCTGAGCTAACAATGATAACCCATGGGATGCAGGGAAGACTTTTTTTTTATTTATTCTTATAACAAGGGCTAAAAGGAATAAAAGAATCAATCAGCATTACAAGGGAGAGCTTTAAGGAATCCAGGAGAGATTATTTGTTTATTTATTCATTCATTTCATCTCAAAGACATTAAAATGCTCTGCATTCACAGTAAAAAAAAAAAAAATAGTCGGATGGATAAAAGCCAATGTGGGTGGACTATCACAAGACGGTGGCAGCTTAGTGTCTCCTCCCAACTTGATGTGGAGGGAGGAACAAAGGAAGGATAAGTGCAATTAAGCAGAACGCTGCACCAGCACCATCAGCATGCTGGTCACAGCCACGTTTCAGAGCCCTGCTCCTCGCTTCCCTAGCCCACACAGTCTTCTCCCATCTCTGGGATGCCTGAGATGTCAGGAAATCAGACTGATGCCTTATACGTGTATATATTTATGAAATGTGTAGTCAGCCCAAGAATGTTAGCCACAGACAACTCTACAGACTGGAGATGCCCAGCAACGTTATTTCTTCCCATGACCTGAATGACAGTCCTTGCAATCAGAATTGCTAAGAGAGAAGAAGGCAACACTACAAGAGATTCTGGGAAAGGGGTACATCTCTGTGGAAGTCGTATGAGGCCTGATTTGGTAGATATTTCTCCCATTTCTGCTCTCGGTTTCTTAGTACTCTACTCCTCTGAATCCTCTGAACTCCTGGATGTTCTGAGATGTCTCTCCTTCTGTAGAAGGCTCTTAGATCTTTCTCCCTCTAAGAATGTGAGGTATTAGGCAAGCCCATGACTTGGTGGTGCTGGGAGACTACAAAAGGCTATTGCTGTATTCATTAAGAAAACAACCAGGAATATTTATTGAAGGCATAGCAGTAACTCCTCTCTCTCTCTCTCTCTCTCTCTCTCTCTCTCTCTCTCTCTCTCTCCCTCTCTCTCTCTCATCTGGTAATAATAGTAGTAACAGGTTGAATCAGGGATGATATTTTTTTCAAGGCGCACTAAATCTGGGACTTAAAATTAAATGTGAATTTTAATATATGACCTGTTGTGGGATATTATACACTGTGTGAAGATGTATTTCTGTGGATGGTTTAATAAAGAACTGAATGGTCAATAGCTAGGCAGGAAGAGGTTAGGTGGGATTTCTGGGGACAGTGAAGACTCTGGAAGAAGAGATGTGGGGAGACACCAGGAAATGCAGAGCAAGCAGAACGTGCAGGAGGAGAGGTAATAACCATGAGCCATGTGACAGAACATAGATTAATATAAATGGGTTCATTTAAGTTATAAGAACTAGCTAAGAATAAGCCTAAAATATAGGCTAAGCTTTCATAATTAATAAAAAGGTCTCCGTGTCATTATTTGGGAGCTGGGGGAACAGAGAAATACTCTCTGCATATGGCACCCAGTGTAGAGCTCAATATCCGCACAGGGCATGAGAAAGAAGTCTCCAGTAGGGCCAGCGTATAGAGAGAGGTGTGCCTCCTTTAAGGCCCTGATATACAGCCAAGCACTTGAGCAGCTGACACTCGGTACAAGGAAGTATCTACATTCTGCCACATGTCTCGTGGCTGTTACCTCTCCTCCTGCACATTCTGCCTGCTCTGCATTTCCTGGTGTCTCCCCACGTATCTTCTCCGTGAGTCCTCTCTGTCCCCAGAAATCCCACCTAACATTTTCCTGCCTAGCGATTGACCATTTGACTCTTTATTAAACAAATTATAGCAATATATCTTCACACAGTGTATACATATCTCACAACAATGATCTTCAGACATCTGTATGATTTCATAAAGTACATTCTTGAGGTGGTCACTTATACTAGTCAACTTGAACAGGGGCAACATGAACATGTACTATTTCAGAAAATAACTTCAAGTTTGAATGGTATCAGGATTCTGTGGATCATTGGACATTGACCATTGCTTTCTATTTTCGTTAAAATTATACTTTTACTCAGGTAATGTAACAGGTTTTAGGAAATTGTTGGCAGCTCTAGCACATTTGTGATGGCCAATTATTTTTATGGAATTCCTGTCCAACCATCTCACAATGATCCTAAGAAAAAGCCATCTATAACTTGCCCCAGTTGAAACTATTTGACATATTCCTGTGCATGCAAAGTTCAAAGTCCTGAAGCTGTCATTCTGATCCCATCTTCTCTGCTTCATACTTCTGCTCCCTCCATGTCATATGACTGCGGTTCCTAGCATCCTTCTACACTTTTAATCACAGTACTCTTGCTTCTGTTATTATTTATTTCTGGATTTTATGTTATCTTTTCTTCACCTCAACTGACTCACTTAAGCACTCATTTACAGTCACAAACCTTTCCAGAAAGTCCTTCCAGAAGCTTGGTCTTCAACACTCAGGCCAAGCAAGTGACATTCTGCTTTCCACATTACATAGTCTCTGCAATTCATGTATTGAATTGTACCTGTACTTTTTCTGGGTTCATCATCTCTAAGGAGAATGTGCATTCTTGGGTAGCAGAGGGTACTTAACACAATTCCTAGACTAAAAATGTCACCCAATAAATAGCTACTAACTAATCAACAGAATAGTTTGTTTCCTTCATTTTCAGTGGCATCTGGATGACATACCCAGGAGGTACAAATTTAATGAATACATTGGCAAAGCTAATCCTTCATGGCAAACACAATGTGAGCTAAACTTTGAGTATGGATGGATCTAATAACCATGACGTAGTTTTCATGAGAAACTAACTATGTTAGTTAGCAAGTAAAGCAATGTAATCTCCTTCAGTCTTGGTAGAGTCAAGGTGAAGCCCTATAATGGAAGCTCAGTTAGATGTGGAATGAATCTAACACTTATTGAAAACTCTCACAAGGGCAGGCAGTTGGCAGAGCTTCTTGTTTATCCTCACGATGGCCTTCTCCAGTGATTTTGTTGGCCCCAGTTTACAAATCCACTGTCTAATACCATAAGGAGATCAGTGACCTCTGAGAGGTCAACCTTTGTAGAAAAGAAATACGGAGCTGGTCAAATATGGATCCCAGAGGCTTGACAGCCCATGCTGGCTGGTGCTTATGAAATTCTAAAACTTTCTTTCATACACAAAATCTACTGAACAACTCCAAAAACCAAATATAGCCTAAACTGTTAGAAAAAAAAAACTGTGTCCTGAAATCTCATCTGTCCCTCATTCATGCAAATTTGGCAGGGATGACTTTAAAAACACCACCCAAGGGAAACTTGAGCGAGCATCTGGAATGCTCTCCCACGTCGGGCCTTCTTTAGAGACAGCTGGTGGTGACCACTGCTGTTGAGGACTCAGCCCTGTGCTGCACAATCCTGTTGAAACCCAGCTAGAAATTTCTGTCCAGAGGCAAACACTAATTAGTCAGTCCTGGACAGAATAATTCTGTGGTCTCTCTAGCCTAGTGCAAAATAGAATGTGGGAAAACATGAGAGCTCTTGATCTGGTGTCTTCACTCTTCCCCAGGCCAGGTTTTTCTAAGGCAAAATATTTTTCTCAAGGATGAAGGTAAACACTTGCAGAGAAGGTCATAGACACACACACACACACACACACACACACACACACACACACACACACACGTATCCTGCACTCATACTTGGCACCAGAGAGTCCAGTGGAATGGATGGATCTTCACAATGGGGTATCATGAGAATGTCTTTGTCTTTGGTTTAAAAACACAGCTGGGTGAACCAGTGCCCTTTTGCATCTAGCTTGGGATTGCTGTTTTTCAAAGTTGAGCTCACCATCCATAGCTTTTCCTTGTCTAATTTCAAGGGCTCGGAGATACCTAAAATAACCCTCTACGCTTACCTGCCAAATGTTCAAGACTATATCAAATGTATAAACCTCTCTATAGAACCATTTCTTTCTTCAAGAAGGCAACCATCTCATTCAAAAGCAAAATGCCACATTAAAAATAAATCTGAGATAAATTAATCAACAATTAACTACTATAACCATTTATTATAAAACAGTACAGAAGCTTAATAGCAGTGTTTATCAATCATGTATGTAGATAAAATTTTCCATAATGTCTTTAGAAAGTATTTATTCCCTGGGTACAAGTCCCAGTGCTTTTGAGTTGTTTTGTGCTGGGTGCAATAGTCCTTATAAAGCGTAGGACCAGGGATTAAAGACCACCTCTTGGTGAGTCTGCAAACTTAAGAACAGGGACTCCCTTCATCAAGCCCATCAAGGCCATACCTACAACATTTGAAATAGTGCTTTGGAATGATGGATGTTGACAAGATGACAAATCTGGAAACCTGGTGTGGAGCATAGAAATGTTCAGTGTTTATATTAGGAGGGAAAGATGCAATCTCGCTGAATGATAGAATGAGAAAATACTGGATACAGTGAATTGGATAGAGTAGAAACCATATTTGGCCATGAATGGAAAATTCCAGAGGATAAGAGCAGCTTATTTCATAGCCGAGCGTTAGCATTCAGTGGTAGAAAGATTTGAACGCTAGAATTTAAACTCCATTCCACAGGCTAGAGAAATATGCAGTGGCTTGGAACTGATCATGATAAAATCATGAATCAGTACCACAGCAAATAAATAACCACTTTTCATCACTGACCAGATCAAATTTTTCTCAGAATTTCCATTGGTAAATGGTTGACTTAAATGCCAGAGTGGCTTTAATTTAAAAGTGCCCCAAATACATGAAGCACAACCCATAGTATTCATTTGAGAAAAGAGTTATTGTCATATTAGGTACCAAAATTGTTAATAACATATTGATCACCGCACTGGCTCCTGAGGCGGTGAAGTCATGGATTAAACACCACACCTGCTCCCTCTGTAATAGTGTATGGCTGTCACATTCGCCTGTCAGCCAACAGGCTTGAAAAAAAATGATGCTTGTGGAGATAGAACATATTTTCATATGCAAGTTCTACTCTTACAGAGATTTGACAAAAACCTTTGGTTTTTTTACTATTAAGTTACAATTTGTAGGAAACAGAGAACTTATTTATGCTATCAACAAAATTTCTCATGATTCCCTATCACCTTGTTTTTTGTTGTGGTGGTGGTGGTAGTGGTGGTGAAGAAAAGAAAAAGAAACCTTCGATGATCCTGGCAGTTGAACATCGAGAAAAGTCATCCAAATAGAAATCATTGTTAGAAAATTTAAGTATAAGGAATATTGCTGATTTCTCTTAGACTACAAGTATTCCAAGTGCAGCCTACAGCCAGCATCATTAACTTGACCCAACCTGCCCTAAGAAAGACACTCAGGAGACTGACGGGCAAGTAGAGGTCATTTGAGGAAGTGCTCATGTAAATATGAACTGTAACTGTGTCCATCCTAAGTCACGAGGAGGATTAACACACGTTGGGCTCAAGAGGGTGGTGCAGGGGCAAAAGTCAACACCAAAGCAAGGTGTGACTGATGGAGAAACGGATTCGAGAAGTTAGAAATAAGGGAATCTCAGCCAACCGCATGGCTACAAGAACAAGGAAAGCAAGCTCTCCACCTGTCTTCTACCGCTCAGCCTCTTTCCAGCAATGGCATGCAGTAACTGAGCTCATTCTTTGACAGCATCCACCTGTGAATGTCTGTCCACATCCTCCAAAAATGGGCTTGCTTGTGGAAGAAGACAAAGACCGTGCTACCAGGTCAAGCATAGGCTCCGGCTCTAAGTAGGTACATGGTAATTCATGTTGGGTGAAGGGCAAACTGACTACGGGAATGAACAGTAAGATCTGAGATTGGAAATAAGCTTATGTTCCAGAAAAAGCCTGGTGTGAATTAAATTTTACGAAAATTCAATAGTTCATGGCTGGCACCCAAATTTCCCCTTTGCTTGTGAGCCTTTGTAATGTGTGCTATTACCAGATATGCAGGTAGAAATTGGGAGGGATTAGACTCATCAAATTTGATCAGGAGAGTAATAGATAAAAGAAAATAATAATAAGGTAGGGTTTAGAATAGAGGGAGGCAGGGGCGGGATAGATTAATTCTGAACAACTCAAGACTCTATAAGGAATGTGCAAATTAGATGTAAAGAGGAAAGGCAGAACCTGACGTTAATTGCCTGTTCTGTGCCAGATTCTGTGCTGGGGACTTTCCCTGTATTATCTCATACACCCCTCACTCTAATCTAGCCAGGCATGTATTACAGCCCCATTTAACAAACGGGGAAACTGGAGGCTCTGAGAGTTTCAACACATTACCAAAGCTCACTGAGCTGGCAAGGAATGGAATCGGACCCAAACAGAACCTGTCTGAGTTTACAGCCCTCCATGTTGCTGCTGGGTATGATTTGGGTCAAACACTTTTGTTCTAAGTAGACAAACCCAAATGTTTCCTGTGTTTAACCCTGGAAATGGCCAGTGGGCCGAGGAGCACCGGGACTTACAGACATATAAAAGCACATCCCTGGATGTGAACTTACCTGAATATTTTATCAGAGGGCTGCTCTCCCAAAACCAGGTCAAAGCCTCGCTGAAATATTGTGTAAGGCCAAGGCCTAAAAGGAGAAACATTATTCAATTAAAGTCCACTCAACAGACACTCTCTCCATGCCAGATACTCTGCTAGGTTCTAAAGATCCAAAGATGAAGAGCACATATTCCCCGCCCTCAAGAAGCTCATACATGTGAGTGCATGTACAACCTTGAACCCAGAAAAGGGACCAAGAACAAAGTTAGTATTAAAAAGTAACTGAATTACTAACAAAGCAGAAATTGATAAGATGTGACATTGCTGCCATACACAGTAAGATGGGACTCAGCCATAATTCACAAGTTTTCTGTAGTACATTCACAGAAACCTGTTTGCCTTACTGAAGAAAGATGGGCGACATGATATCTTTAAAAAGTCAAATTCTTTGAAACTAGACATTTCTGTATTCAAAACCTGCTCTGCAACTGAGTCAACTGTTTGAGTAAAGGAGATAGTTTGCCTTGTTGACTCAACCTCCTCATTTGAAAGATAGATAGATAGATAGATAGATAGATAGATAGATAGATAGATAGA